CTCTCTCTCTCTCTTTTCTTGAAAGTAATGACTTTCTCTTGCATTTGTCTCAGCTAACACTCTTGTAATTAACAATGCAAGGTCAGTGGAAAAAACCAACATAAGTTTACAGCCTTCACTATCAACTTAAACCATCACACCACAAGTCAGTCTACCAACAAACATTGGCGTAATATGACAAAATATGAAAATAGCAAAAGGAGTTCCGAAAATCCTATACCTTGAAAACGCGTATTAGAAAAAATGCAACCAAGCTTGAAAAGCCCATATGAATCATGGTAAGCGTTATTGGAAATGGGAAGTTGAAATATTTTGGCGAGAGAACCCACTGGAATAAGCATAAAAAAGAAGCACATTAGTACGAGCTTTCAAAATATTAAATGTACAAATGAACTTAAAAATGCATGGCATTGGCAAAATGTAATAAAAACTCCTCTGGCAAGGAATTAAGAAAACGAAATGGAAAAAGAGAGGTTAGAGAACCAGCTAATATGTTTACAAGTCCTTAAGATATCTAGTCTTCCCATAACACCTAATTTATCTAAACTTATGTAAATCATTTAATATAAGGGCAATTTTGCAGGAATTATTTGGACCTAATTTGATGTGTTATTTAATTTTCATGATTGTTTATTTTATTTAAGCCAATTTCAGAATAAAGAACATTGCCAAATTGGTGCCAAGTGCCAATTCATATCCTAATTCCCGAATAATAGAAGTGTGCATTTCTTGCACACAGTGATCGTGAAGATGCAGATTAAACACCAAAGCTTGATATTTCCATAGCAAAATCCCAAAAGCAACTCTCCACCCTCAAATCTAATGTGATCCAAAATTGGTGAGGGTGAGGCAGTGATATTAATAAGTGTTACAAATATGCTGCCAATATCTATATCAAGCAAGAGAGGGGGAGAGAGAGAGAGCATCAGACATTCATCATGTATTATACAATACATACCTTGTTGTACAAAATAACTCCTGAGGACAACAATATGTAGACCAAAAGATACAAGTAGGTCAACAAATGTTGTTTGCTGACCATTGTATCTATTTAGTTTCCCGTAAGCAATCACGTCAGGGAGTTCTAGCTGACCAAACTTCGTCAAGACTTAAGTATTTGAACTCTAGAAGAGTTCTAGACAGAGTTGAGGTATTGCTAACTCAACCGTTGCTATTCATTGTTTGATAGATGATGAACATGCCATTTTCTTAGCAAACCAGCAGTATTTGTAACACGAACAGACATCTACTGAACCTGGAAAAGGATGAGAGAATGAGTAAAATACAATTTGAATGCAATTGTTGGGTTTCATGCATGTCGTATTTGGTTTGAACTAACACATCCATGTGGTAATGGTAATGCATCTCTGCGTGTCAACAAGCTCTTTGCAAATAAAATGAGAGCAATTGGTAATCAAGTTAGATGGTCACCTGAAACAGGTGTCGGCAGAACTCTATATTCATCATGAAGGAAGAATATATCTTGAAAAGATATTAGATATGAACAAAGGGAAGAAATCAACGGGAGAGAAATAGTGGTTCCATCTACCTATTGAATTTTTTTTTTCTTTTTTGGGTAGGGGGTGGTGTGGGCGGGCAGAACAATGTTCTGTGATCTTATATAGGGGTAAGTTTTCTTGCTAAGGCGAGGGTGACAATTTTAAGTTTTTCATGTGGATATGGATCCTCATTGACACATTAATAATAAAAATATTTACTGATCAAAATACAAAAAAGAAATATACATTAATAACACTACTAAAAATAAAACAAGTTCTTTCGTCTGTTTTAGAGAGAAAAAAGGAGAATATAAAATGCAGGAGAAAATGTTTAAATGAGCAACACATTCTGTCCCGAACTAACAATATGAAGTGATTTTGAATTTTAACTCCATTTCTCTTCAACTCCATGCAGTTTAACCTTCAGAAGCAAAACCCTGGTTCTTCGACAAAGCAGCTTGTTCAGGAGTTAAAACCTTCAACTTTTGTTTCTTATGATTTTGTATGGAAGTCTGTTAAAATGTTTCTTATGATTTTGTATGGCTAAATAGACTAGGACATCCATTGAGAAAGATTGAAATCTTTCAAAATGTAATATCCAAATATCAATAATATGTCTTTTTTTTTTTAAGTACAATGACGCCATTCACAAGTGCATGTACGAATACGAAGTAAACATCTATCTAATCTAAGTTTGGTGGACTGTTGGAAGCAATGATTAGCATTTTTATTTATGTACTTAGCAACTTGTAATGGTTAGTTAGAATTGTTAGAGTCGGTTTCAGCCAGTACAGATATAGTTGGTTACAACATATAATCCCTCTTCAAACAATGAAATTGATAACCACCTAACAACAGGTTTCAAAAATTCCTTCCTTATTCTCCCGAGTTCTTCAAAAATTTTAAGTACTTGAACCTTTCCAACAATCCAAGAAATCATGGAGATTAATTGATCAAGGTCGAAACTCTGATAGTGCCCACAAAAATGATTCAATCAAACCCGAAACAATATCACTTATTAGCAAATATACGGCCTAACATTTACTTCCCTTACACTTTTGCCAACACTCTCCGCAGCGATCAAATTAGGATATAAATTTTGCTTTACCAGCTGTAAACATATTTAGACACGTGGATGTCGAAGAATAACCCTATGGATCTCACAGAGTAACTTTTCGACATCATTTTACAGAAGCGTCCAGTTGAGCTAGTCAGATCAATGTCCTATGTGCCAAACTCTACGACAATCTTCTCAACCAAATCATAAAAGTATTTCTCAGAACATATATCAGCGCAGATCTAAAACTGTTACATTAAAATTCATCCCCAACAACTCATCGTCGACAAATTCAGCTTCATAAATTCGAAATCTCAAAATCACATAAAATGAACTAAAAACAGCCTGAAGTGCGAAATTAGCGCAGAAACAATCGTACTGCAAAATGAATAGTAACGAACCTGAAAATCAGAAAATGTATGTATAATTCCAACAACGATGCAGAAATGTCGATCAAAAATTTCGCTGCTAGATCTTAGTGCAAAAGTTTAGTTGACGTGTGTATCAGGTGAATTTGATGAGTGGAAGAAAGGAACCTCTTCGGATCTCAAGCTACAGTGCAGAAAATGTACGTGCAGTGACATTGAGGTGTGGGGTTGCGTGGCTCAATAATGCGTGCTGAAATGTACGTTTCGGAGTGGATCGAGTATATTAATTGTGTTGTTTGATATGGACTATGACTATAAGTATGGATTTATCGGCAATTTTTTTCCCCCATAAAAAAAATGCTCATCCAAACAACGTGCTAAATTGAATAGTAGAAAATGATTTTTCTTTTTTTCCTTTTTTTTGGCATTTTTTATATTGTTATTGCTAATTTTGATAGTTTACAAGTTTCCATGAATATTATCATCTTAAAAACATGTAGAAAATTTTATAACTAGTGGCAACCTGACTATGGACGAGATAGACGATTGCTTAAGACCCCACTTTGGTGAGAACACCAAATTATGCTATATTTATATGATAGAGCAATGCTATAAGTACAAATTGTTTTCTATAGAATTGGTACAGGAAAACAACTGTTCTCTTGTGATTTGCTAGCAATGACAACAACTAATTACAAGAAGACAGTTGTCTTTTTGTACCAATTCTATTAAAAAAAATTGTACTTGTAGATTAATTCTATATGATAAGTTTACTCAACACATGAGAAAGTTGTACCAATCAAATGTGAGTCTAACATGTGTATCTTAAGTATAAAGCAACTTTTTCACACACGCATAGAGTAATGGGAATTTCCATAGGACGGGAAGACCGCCATATGTCCAACAAACTTTTAGATCACTATCTATGATTAATGTCGAGTCATTAAGATTAAAGAGTATTCATGCTTTTAACTTGTACATAAAAAAAGCTCCATGTAAGGCAACAAAGTTGATTAAGTTTGTGAGGACAAAAATTCAAGAGAATGATGATTTTAATGGTCTCTTGAACTTTCTACAAATTTAAACTAGTAGTAGGATCTGTGATCAATCTTGATAGTAAGAGTAAGTCCTTCCCCCTCACAAGCAGGGTTCTTATTTTATTTGTCCATGATCTAGAGCTTGAAGTTTGAATTTTTTTTTTTCAACGACACACCACTGAAATCTAAATAGCGCAGGTTAATAGTATTAACATTTACTCGAATGATACAATATGATAAGAAGCGTAAAAGAACTACTAGTAAAAATCAATAAACATTACTAAGTTAAACAAAAGAAGAAATCAAGGACTAATCAAACTGAAAAGCTTTTCAAAGAATCAAAATTTAATGTCAATTGACTGCAGTGAGATTTGGACAGTTGGACCAACTAATTATTAATGAGTCAATCCAACCATCTCGCTAAAACCCAGAGAAAAAACCAGAAATGTCAAACCTAAATCCCAACAAATTAGAACGAATGAGTTGTTTTATATTGCCCCGTCGCCATATTTTATCATAATAATTTTATTATTACTTTACTACTTAGCCCCTGTCTGGCCGTGATTTTTTAATGGATTTTCAACAATTTTCTTACTGTTGAGTCCAACTGTCGATCCCACAAAAGAAAGGGTCAGCCAAAAATTTCGGCCACAACGATAGGAAAATTCATTATTTTCAGCCAATAATCTGCACCAGACGGACTTTAAATGACAAACTAAGCAAGCGTAAGCATCAGCACCCTTTCCTTGTAAACAAACAAGGAAAAGAAAAACTAAAGCTTGAAGAATGCTTTTTGCACGCTTCAATCACGAGAACGGGGATTTTAATGGTCTCTTGAACTTCCTAATAATTAAAAATTCGAATTCACATACAACAGAGCAAGTCGATGCTATTAGCTGCAGCAATGAAGATAAAAACCAAAATATGCTCAATCAATTTTTTAAGATCAGAATTTCAAATTTAAACAATTAAAAACCCGAAATTCAAAATTATCAAGCAAACAAAAAATCCAAGTAAAAATTGAAAAATAAATTGAATTAACGAAAAAAATAAAATGAGAGCTTACTTGGAGTAAGAACGCGGTGTTGAAACCATGAAGAACCTGGGAGATCTGATGCTGCCCATTTGTGGAAGAACAAAAAATGAGTATTTTCAGGATTGACAGTTTACGGAATTCAGACTCAGCTTCAAAGCCATTTCTATTCTCGATTTCTCTCACAAATTCTGGTTTTTATTTGTTTAAAAGTTTTGTTTCCTACAGCAAAACAGTGCCCGTTACGGGATTTTTGAGGCTAATGGCGAATTTCACCCATAATTATAGCATGCATGTAAAATTTATAAATGTATCATGGAGTCAATAGCTAACTTATTAATTTAAAACTTAACAATAAAACAAAAAATAAAAATATATTATATAAAAGTTTTATATTATAATCAAATAACAAAGTCGAAAAATTCCAAACGATCGGTTAAATACTATTTGTCTTGTAACTTTAGATACAAAAATATTAATCAAATTTGAATAACCACATGTTCAACCATTTTTATTCTCAATTGATAACATAGTTAATCCATTCAATCTTTTTTGTGATATGGTTGATCGAAGATAAGATATGGTTAACGAAATTTTGTAAGTAATATAACATTTAATATGTTTTCAAATATTGTAGCACATCAATTGCTTTCATTGCTTTACTTAATATAAAGCACCTCAAGATATGCAACTGAGAATATAAATCATCTTTATTAATATTTGAACATCCATTATGTTTTAGATAACTCTCAATATTCGTACAAAACTTCAACAAATTGAAAAAAGTTGTACGCCTTAACCTTTTCAAATATGAGAAAAATAAAAATATCTTTTCATATTATTTAAATTGTTCAAATCAAATCTTAGAGAAGATGGAGTTTGATTATTTATAAAAAGAAAGTATTCAACAATAAAAGATTATTTAATTAATTAATTTACATCATAATTACTACTTCCGTTAAATTGCTTCTTTGTTCAAATTATACATTTTTCTCGAAAAATACAACTTCAATTTCAATTTTACTTTCCCTTTTTGTCGATTTAATCATGACAATAGAAAAATTCAATTTCTTTATGATCCTTGAGAAATGAAACAAATACTTGTAAGAGGTCGATAGCATCATCAATATCCATATTTGCGATTTGAAGAAATTTACTCATAATATTGGTTGTATGCAACAATATGTACTAAATTACCATGTCAAACAAGAACTCAAAATCCTAAAATTCATATGTCGATAAAGACTCGATTTCGCTATTTGTTTTAGGATTTTCGTTAATTTCTATCAAATCAAGTAAAACGTCTCCTATTTTAAACAATTAAATAAAATAAAATACTATCTATGTAATGAACAAGTTTAGAATAATTAAGAAATCACTGTAATATGAGTTTTGTAAATTATAAATCACTTGTCCCTTTTTGTTACTTTTTCTCACACTGAAAAAATATTTTAGAGAAAACTTCATATCTAAGATATTAAGTATGATCAATTTCAAAACTAAGAAAAAAAGTTTAAAATTTCAAGATTCGGATGTTAATTATTTTTATTTAAGAATAATTAATTAAATATATTAATTTCACAATTTTGTACTGTTTGATCACAAATTATTTTTCAATCACAAACAAAATTTTTTATAGGTTACATATTACAAAATTTATTAATCACAACTTAAAATTTTAGGTCACAATCTCAAATAATTGATTTATTGATAACAAATTAACCAATTTATTAGTCACAATATCAGACTTCCCACCCCGTGCACCCCACCCACCACCACCACCACACAAACGCCAGCAAACAAATCAGATTCAAATCACCACGACGACTACCAACACTACCACCTCACAAGCGTCATCAACATCAACACCACCGCCAAGAACTATAAATACAATTAAAAAACACTTCAACGCCACGAGATCGAACAGTACAGTACAACAGGTCGCGCAGAAGCATCGATGCACTAGATACGCAACATCGCTCATCGAAAAGTGTAGTGCAAACTAGTCGCGCAATGTACCAAATCTCGCAGCGTTGCGCGCAATGCATTACGATCGCTGTTGCAGCGCCGCTAATGCACAAAGGCAGCTTGTTTCGCGCGAGTTCATCGCTAACAATTAAAAAGGGATAAGACGATTGTGTAAGGGACAAACCTCTTAAGACAAAGTCCCAAAAAGGGGTGTTCTTTATTGGCGATGTCTTTACAATCGAAAAGTAAAAACAGAATGCCTCCAAGGGGCGCAAGCACACGAGTTATTGAAAGAAGTGTTTAAATCTAAACTAAGAACTTTAAAATTACATGTTCTCTGTTCGAGAGTTTTTTGATTCGAGCCTTTTGCTCTATGTCTTTTCTTCCTTTTATACTCCCTGGATGATCTCTTTGTGATCAACCGCCTAAAAACTGCTTGATTATTCTATAATTGCCCACTTTCCTCATAATTGCCAACTTGTCATGGAATTGCCTTTTTTAATTGCTGCCATTACTCTTTGTCGTTCAACCGTTTTCGATTGAATTCCTTGAATCGTGGAACGTGATAGGACTGCCTAATAACTGCTTTGATAACTGCGCTTCTTGATAACCATAATACTTCATGTTTGCTAAAACCTTGGGCGACTCGAAGGTTTGGGCGAGAA